CAAAGTGCAGGACCAGCACTTGGCCTAAGTGGCACAAAGACAGAACAAAGAATGAACATTTCTCACCTGTGACTGGTCAGACTGCACTCTGAAACACTCTTCTAGTAGCAGAAACAGCAACTGCTTAAGCTGGCACTACTCTATAGGACACCAAACTGTCCCTGCAGTGAATGGCAAGGGTGCAGTTCTGTATGTCAAGAGGTGGTTTTCATTCTAACAGCACATCTTACCCATTGAGATTCGTTATCTGAGTTTTCCCTTTCCAAAGAAAGAGAAGGACATACACCAGACTGGATTGACACTGTAAAATACTTGTAACAGAAGCATTCAACTAAAAGAAGAAAAAGCTTTCTTTATGTGCCCAGTTTCCACACAGAACACTATTGGAATTCATTTCAGAAAGAAAATAGGTGGTATTTTTTTTAATCAAAGCTCATTGAATCCATTCTGCTGAATAACAAAGAAAACTTTTGTACTATGACAAGATAAACATCTCAGAAGAAAAATTACTTCAGAAAGACCAAGGATAAAAATACAGCCTTCTAAAAATAAGAAATAATGAAGTTTAATATTACATTGAAGTTGAAGCTCAGTTGAAAAGTTTGATCTTGCACAAACAATTCTGATTACCACTCAGAGTGGTAACCAGTCCTGCTCACCTTGGAGGTTACTGGAACTGCCTGTGAAGGTGGAAGTTATGCCATTGTTGATATAACTCCATGAGGAACTTTAGGCTGAATCATTGGGGAATAAATTAAGGGATGTGTGTTTTAAGCAAACCTGGAGAATTTTGCATGCACCTACACACAAACACTTCAAATAAAATAACTTACCCTGACATCATCATCCTCTGGAGTTCAGTGTGTCCAAAATCAAATGCATAGAGCAGCATATCAATATTCCTACATATTGCAAAATAATTATAACTATATTAAACCCCAAGAACTCCCCATTATAGATTACTCTTACATACTACTTCTCCTCTAACAAATGCAAGCAGCATTTGTGTTGGATGGGGTCATGATAAGCCTTGACAGGACAAAAGATGACAGTTCCTGATGGCAGGTGGAAAATAAAGCAAATCTCTTAAAGCCCACAAAGCCCATCTTCATTACCACAGCATCAGCTCTTCTGCCCACTGAGCACTGGGCCTGACACAGTCTGTTTAAAGGCACTTGTTTCTCAGGCAGGCAAGTTAAGCTGTTCAGAGCTCTAAGTTATTTGATGGTGTCAAAATGGAAAAATAACTAAGTTAGTGGAGATCAGAGCAAGGCTTGAAGATGATCCTCCCCAAAAGGTTTCCAAAAGCACAGCAGCATATTTTATACCAGACTGATTGACAGTGCTGCCAAAACACCTTTCTCAAAGCAAAGGCAGCCACTGGGAGCAGATACAGGGAAAAAACCCAAATACAAGCCAGACAGACACATTCTGTATAAGTAACAACTTTATTGTAACTTGATGTGCTGAAACGCAAAAATATTTTCAGCAACAAGGTACAAAAAGTATTTCACCATTAACATCAGCTGATAAAAAAAGGCTGGATGGTTTGATACAACTGTTTACATATCTGAATTCTCTTAATCATTTCCACCCCAAAACAGGTCTAAGTCATTTCACTGGTTTAATTTCTAAAATAGGACTCATTGATCTGAAGCCTTCAAAAACCAGGTTACAAATACAGTGAAGTTCCTTGCAAAACACTTGAAATAGTGAATTCCCTTTACAAACATAGTCCATTTACTGTAAGCAGAAGCCAAGTTATGAGACTAAGTGTCTTGCTAGCTGAGGAGCTAAGCTCTAAATATGCTATCAACACCAGACAGAGAGGACAGGTAACATTCCACTTGTCAATTACAGACGAATAAATCAATTAAGCTTCAGAATTGTAACCAACTGTAAAACTCAATGAAACTCAACAATATTTCAGGTAGCAATACCTCACATTTGCAATTCTTCTATGAAACACAGTTTCAAACACTGCACATAGTTTTATTCTCCCAAGGGAGAAACCTTCCCATGAGGATTTAAAAGGACCACAATCTCCATGTAGGTCTTCTACCGATCTTCTCCACAAAGGTGAATTCAATGCTAAATACTTAATGTTTAGAAAAACATCAGAACTAGAGTAGCTGGTAAAGCTAACTTTGTGTCCATGATTATCACGTTTTGACATACATTTATCTTGTAACAGCAAATATTATCACAATTTCACAAAAATATACCGTTACTCAACTTGGACCTGTAATACTTACTCCACTTGTTCGGGTAGTTTCTACCTCGGTGAGACTGAATTTAGGAAGCAAGAATCAACATGCAACAAGAGGTCAAATGGGTAACTTGTAACTTTTCCATCTCAGTTGTGTCCCAAATAGCATTCCCCTTCACCTTTAAAAATACCTTTTACAAAGACCTTGTATCCTGTTAAATCTTCCCTTCATTGCAACAGTTTCCTAAAAAGGCACAATGTGTTCATACTTCTGCATGCAGTAAATGGACTAGGAAATAAGGAGTATTTATTGAAGCAACTTCCACCCAAAGCATCTCCTTAGGAGAGGTTCAAATGGAAAAAAAATAAAATATATATAATACATAATAGCATTTTAACAGCAAATTGAGTCCTTATTTTTAGAAAGTCATTCTTGACAAAAAAACACCACAGTCATACACACACACGCACGCACACACAGGACACATGCAGGGTTCTCCCCAGAAAAGTGTGGAAGTGGTGGTTCACATCTATCTGAGAGAGTAGTGTTGGCAAGCCAAAACATGGCACCTTCATACGTCAGATTCATAATCTGTATAGAAAACTAAAAAAAAAACCCTAAGATTTCAGCCTGAAAAAAAACCTGTCCATTGATTTCGATAGTTTCCCATCTGCTGCACTTCGAACTGACAAGTGAGGTGTGGAAGGGCAAGTTCTTGAGATGTGGGGAATGAAACCAAGCTACTGAATCCAAAGGAGAGGTCGGAGCTGTCCTGTTCCAGTGAGAACACTGCATGTAGGTCGTTAAAGAGGTGAATAATTAGTGCACTCACTTAAGAATACAGCAACTGTTCTACCCTTTGCTTAAGAGCTGACAAAACTTGAAAACATACATAATAAATAAAGTGAAATCTAAACAGATCAATTATCATGGGGGATTTTCCTGTTAGTGTGATGTATGGTTCACACTGCCTGACTGGAGAAGTGAACGCTCAACGATGTAGATGATGTAACAGCACAGTGTCTGACATTTTTTGGTACAAAGTGTGCTCTTAAGCTTCTAAAACAACCCAAAATAAACTCATAGAAGTCCTTAAGCTTTCCATCTGATTACTGTATGTTGTTACTTTAGAGCAGGCTGACCTGGGCAATCATTACAGCATTAAATATTCAAGTCACTTTGCACGTGAGAGCTGCAAGTTTTACAGTGATGAGTATGAGGATCTGTAGTCCCAATGTGTTACACAGTGCAGCAAAGACATCATGATTTTGGAATAATTACCTTTATCCCTTACTGTGGAGAATGCTCATGAGATCTTAGTTTAGATAAATATTTTTAAATTGATAAAAGGATAAATCTCTGTAAATATATCATTTGATGCCTTAGGTACTATTAAAGTTTCTGATTTTATACTTTATCCACCAATAAAGATTTAGTTAGAAGGTAAGAAGAAAATGCATGTTTAGAGGTTTTAGTCTTCAAAATTGGACTGGGTATTTTTTTCCAATTTACCTTTGCTAGTGGTTTACTAGATGCCAAAGTATAAAACTATATATTCTTTCCTCTAAAAATTGTGTTCAGAGCAATTCAGATAAATCTCAATGAAATGAGGATGGAGATAAGACTTTAAGATAGTAAACAATCCAAAATTCTTCCTCTCTCCTCCCTGCATAATTTTTTTTAATAGGCAAACTCAAACCCTTATGCAAATCTGTTCATCAGTTAGGTGAGATCTCCTCCCATTCCCCACAGCTAAACCCAAGTCTTCCCCAAAAAAAGAAACATAGCATATTATCACTATTACAGTAAACTCAATGCAGTAACTCAGGGAACATTTAGAGTGTGCACTACTGCAGACTTTTCCTCCCAATTGTAAACAAAGCTATCAAACACTGAGGATGTTGATATTAAAGCTAAGGTTCATATAATAAAGAACTGGCCCGTGACAAGCAGTTTACAAATGTTTCATCCTTTTCACATTATGCAGAATTTCAATACCATCCACAATGCTAGTACAATAACTGAAATGCAAGACTGAGCAAGTCTCTGCTTGCAAATACCATCTGACATTTCAGGGAAATACTCCTCGATGCATACACAGCCTCCTTAGGTGTCAGTGGAAGCTGTGCACAGACGTCAAGATGGGAAAAAAATCCCTTCAAAGTTTTTACCATTCACATGCCTTTTTCAAATAAGCGAAAATATTCTGTTACTTAAATATGAAAGCTTGCAATAGCCACCTTCAATTGAGTCTTAAAAAGACATGCCTCTCTTTGCTAACAAAACTAAATCCCATGTGGCTGTGGGCATCTTAAAATGTATCTAAAAAGTTAAGCCACAATTACCTGTACCTCATTAATTCATCAAAAGCAAAATATATATGTACCACACAACATACAAAAGTTACACATTAAAAGTGCATATTCAGAATCCATTTGGCCCATTTCCTCAATTTACATTTGGTCATTCTATGCATCCTTTGCTTTCCTATGTAACCATACACGTGGGATATATTTTTTTTCCATATACAATACTATTCCTTTTTCACACTGAACTCTTCACCTCTCGTTCAGTTCTGCATTAAATGTAAACTAATGATGGACCGTAAAGAAACACGAGCAAGAGGTTTATTCTGTGTTTCTTTTCACCGCTTGGACAGCTTTGACACACACACAATAAGCATTACAAACTGTAATGAAAATACATTTTTGGGCCAAACCATTGCATATTTGCCCCCACAATGAAAAATAAATTATGTTCAAAGCAGTATATTGCCATAAATAGCCTGTAGGCGTTCGCTGAAGGTAAACAGGCTCTCCCTATATTTAGCACTTGTCTAGGGTACATGATGTGCCTCTGGTTCAAGCACTTTTAATGAGAGGCCAGTTAAAACCTTCCAGTTAGCACAGGACCAAACTATAATCTTTTTCTTTTTTTTTTTCTTCTGAAAATAATGGAAGATCCCTTTCAAAAATTAATCTTCAGTTATCAACTTTACTGCATTATGGAGCTAGTGCAATCCTGCAGAGCCTAGTCAAAAAGACAAGGCACATTAAAAAATAATAATAAAAAAATCAAGATACATTAGACTATATGGACTAGAGAGTCATTGAAGATAATTTAAGGCCTTTCAGTGAATTAGAGTAATCAGTCTAATTTAAAGCTGAGGATTAAACCATAAATTATCCATCTGAAAAGCAAACAATAGGCTTTTTCAGCTTCTGTTCTGTGGACAAGGATAACAAAAACTCTTGTTATGGTTTGTGAAAACACCTCTGGACATGGAGGAGTAGAGTCAATCCAATTTCTCTAAAGTTCATGGAAGATTTCAGGACTGTTTTAGCCGTTTGCGTGGAATGCCAAACTGTGGACACTGTGCAGACGCTAGTGCGCGAAAGGCCTCGGCTACTAAGTGAGGGTGGGAGTGGATCATGGACTTCCAGCCTGCTGTTTCCATTATGTCTGTTGCTTGGCTGAAAACAGAAGCATTAACAACAGTCACACCATTTTACAAACCAAGTGCACAGCGGAGAAGAGCAGGCAAAGCAGAACTGCTGCAGAAGAGCAGTTAAACATTGTAAACCCACAGAGGATGAATGCCAGTTAGGATCCCATTGGAAAGCAGCAGCAAATTGCAATTTGGGAATATTAGTATCATCATATGGAGGATACAGGGAACTTATTCTGCTCTGTTGAGTACCAGCAACACCTCAGCTAGAGAACTGCATCCAACACTGGGCACTGTGTTAGGATAATTGCCTTGAAATTACACAGGAAAAACAATAAAACAAAGAGGAAAACTAGAATAAAATGAGGTCTAGTACAGAGACAAAAAGCAAGGGGAGACATGATAATCTCATTACATAAAAGGGCATGCTCAATTTGGGCAGAGAGGAGGATGACAAGATGAATCAGCTGAAACTGCAGCAAAAATGATGTAGTTCATCTGCTAGAAAGAGCCATGAAGTCAGATTAGCTGGCTGGCTACAGAGCTCTTCCCTGGGAGCCTGCAGCCTCAGTACCAGTGGAGCATACTTGAGCATATTCACTCTTTTTTCAGCACAGGATGATGGACTACATTCAAAATGGCTTTCAATGGCCACTGTCGATTTTTAACTAACACAGAACCAACAACAGATTTTGGCAAATATCATGTTGACATCCAGGAGATTAAAAACTATGTATTTACTCTATGTATGTATTTACTTTCTGGTGAAATAATATGGAAGTAAAAAATTCCCTCTGCACACTAGGAATATTACACTGGTTGGGGGACATGACACATGGACACAGGATAAATCTGTAATTTGGAACCAACAGTTTATGCATCAATCCCAAGTTTTCACTGCTCTGCATTTTCAAAAGCCTTTGATGAGTACCCTCACACTGCTTCAGAAACACTGTCAAGCATAAAGTTGACCTCTACACAATATGATCTCTAAAACACCTTTGGCAGATTTCTAATGCAAGCCTTTAATCTTCTGCTGCAAGTCAGTAAGGTAAGTGCCTTGAGAAACAATACCAAAGTTCAGACTCCCTGGGGCCCAGAGTCAGTAAATTAAGCCAGGCCCTCTCACATTATTTCCCTGATTTACTGTAGAAGCTTTAGCTGAAGCAGAGTCTGCCAGCATGTTAACTAGCAATTACCCAAGACAGAAGTCAGCTCAAGAACTTTCAAATCACTTGAGAAGGAATACATGAATTAGTTTACACAGTTATGACTCTGACTTCTCTTTATTACTGGTATTTTACTATTTACCTTCTACTACCCCCTTTCTCTTCCACATCATGCTCAATGATCAGGCCTGGGAAGTCTTTTTTGTTTAAAGGAGAGACACTCTAATTTAAACTAACTGGCACAACACAGCCTTTAACTTCTCTGCAGATTCTGACAGTAAGAAAGAAGTTCTCTACTGCCCTTTTACTGTTTGAGCTTACCACTGGCTGTTTTGAAGCTGTCTTTCTACCCTATGAATCACTGGAGCTCTTGCTGCAATCAGTCCTACAGTCTAAGCCACAGTTTCAACCTGTTTCCATGTGTAGGCATGAGCACTTACAACTCAGCCAGATTTGAGGGACTTGACTGACTAGTTGTGTGGACTCCAGAGTACTAGTACTGGCATGTGGGAAGATGCACAAACATGTCCCTGAAGGCAGAAAGAACAACTGCCCTTCTTCTTTTGGTAATACTGCAGGCTCAGACTGACCTAAGCAACTCTTGAAACCACACTGGGGTTATCACTCCTCCAGGCACAAACCTGGTTAGTCAAGAGAATAGTTTCCTTTATAAAGGCTGTTGCCACCATCTCACAGCACTGATATATCCCCAGGAGAGGGAATAAAACCCAACTATTGTTAGGACCTCACACTGGAGGGCAGTTAACACTCCCTGTCATTTAAAAGGGAAGTCACAATCATAACTGGGGTAGCATCTGCTGAATCCTACTTTACTTACAGTCAGTGACAGGCCTCAGTAGTGTGGAAATGAAGCAACAGTTCTTAAGATCTGCAGTCTATTTAGCAGTGTTTGTACAGAACATCGTGGGGCAGGGAAACTTACTTGCTATTCCAGTTTTTCCCATCTTTACACCCAAGTTGTCTAAGAACACTGCACCTGCAAGAGAGAATTGTGCTGATATTGAATAGGTAGGTCCACAAAGCATGAACACAAAGATATTTAGAGTCTCATAAACATGACTTGCCTGTTAATAAAGTCTATTGCTTGTGCTTTTAACTGTTCAGCGCTGTGCAAATCTGCGAGGATAAGAATGTCAGCAACATTTTCCACCGAGAGGTTACTACAGAGTGCTTCCTCACACATCACCTTCAGCCGTTCCAGTGCATACTGGGAAAAGAGAAAAACTACACTAATCATTCTTCAAACTCATTCTTTCCACCCTTATCTCTACAGTTAAGTCGCTTTCTGTCATGAAAACGTTTGGTGCCTCCCAAGCTTAACATCAAACTGCTTCCAAAGATGTAATTCAAATTTGCACATTAGGCTTGACACAAACTGATCAAAGACTTTACTGACAGAACAACAAAAAAAAAACCTCATTGAGAAACTTTTGTTTCCCTTCAGTTTGTACGGGAGGGAGAGCAAGAACAGTCATGGGCTCTTTATCAAAATCATCATTACATACATTTATACCTCAAAGTGGGGGCAAGAAATTATACAATGGAGAGTTTAATCAAAGTGTCCAAGGGAAAATACATTAGCCTGTTTGAAAGCACGTTAAGGGGTTGAAATGGACCTTGGAGATCATCTAGTCCCAACACCCTCTGCCATAGGCAGGGACTCCTCCCACTAGACCAGGTTGCTCAAGGCTTTATCCAAACTGGCTTTGACCATTGACAGGGTTGGGGCATCCACAACCTCTAGAAATTATTTAAATTGATTTGGAAATTAAGAAATTTGATGTAAAATAACTGCATTCCCCTATTATACTTTGCATGAATAAACTGTGCTTCTTTTTTGAAGGATGTCACAGTCTGAACAGGTTTGTGCTTTTATCTTCTGGTATTTCAGACAAGCATATAACTATACCTTATAATATTCTCTATATTTATCAATTATGCCCTTAAAAAAGGCCAGCATTGATAAAATAACCTTAATTGCTGAGCTGCTATTGGCCCTTCATTTCAAAAATCATAGCAGAAAAAGTACTTCACAGAGCAACAATTTAAAGAGTGGACAAGATCCCAACACAGAAGAGATGAAAGATTAGGACTATTATATTTGTAGGCAAGACAAAAAGATGATATTTGTTTCTCATACTTAGGAAACCAAATATCAATCTGAAAAAAAGGATTTATTTTTTGAATAGGAGCATTCCACAGTCAAACATGAGGTCTGAGAACTTCAGAGTCAATTTACTTACTTTGTCTGCAGCTGCCAACAAATTGTCAGCCATTTTTTCAAGGTTTGGAGCTTTTCCTGTATAAATGAATCTCATCATTTCTTTAAAAACTTCAGGGTCTACATCATTTATTTCTACTCGATTCTGGTAAAGAAGAAGAATCAACAAAAGTCTTTGGAACTTAACTACAAATTCGAAGTGAGTATCAAACATCATCTGCATGCACACTACAAGTTTTCATTTGCCATCCATCACACAAAATCCTTACAAATTTAAGTTAACATTCAACAATGTTAAGCAGAAAGCAATCAGAAAAGCTCTTAAAAGTCAGGTAGAAATCAGCTGGAAAAGCTTTAGCAATAAAAAGTAATCACAACTTTTCTCCTAGAAATGTGTAACTCTGGAATCTATTGCAACAGGCTGCACATAAAAGTCAAGACAGTTTCAGCAATGTTTCAAAAGGCTTCTGAGTTTCCAACCCAACAACAATGTGCTTGGAATATCAGAAGGCAGAGCAGCAGACAGAACAAAGTGAGCCAAAGTGCCTGGACTCAAACTGAGACAACACAGCCTACATTTTGCTCTCAGAATCCCAAGAGCAAACAAAACAGCACATCTAACTGACATCACATCGCTGAAGACAGTCCCAACACAACAGTGGCACTGCATGCCTGACCCATCCTGTAATAATATTCCCTATAAGAAACTAATGAAGTAGGAAATTGTGTCAAAGATGTAAAAGCAAGCACCAGACTTTTGAATGGAGTACAAAAATCACAGGCTATTGGCACATGGAATGTAAGTGTTCTGGTTTCCTATCCACTGAACCACATACAGTTATTAGTAGTAGGGATGAGGATTTAAGGCCAACATGAAGGTGAAGGCCTGGCATGGCACATTACAGAAGCTGTGACATATCTGGTCTTCTTTCAGAACAGAAATATCAATAAAATGTTCTCAATATTCCAATTCTAGAAAGTTTCCAGACTGGAGAAGCGTAGGGAAGAAAAATGCCATGTTTGTGAAACTAAATTGTGCTACACCATATTCATCTGATGGATTTCCTCACACAGTGGCATCTTGCAACCTCCAAGTGATGATCATCTATTACAATCCTTTAGTAAACTGATCAGTTCCTTGCTTTTTCATGGATTCTGCCTATAACCAACCCATTTTTGATATTTTTCTTCATGAAAGACACAAACAACTCCTCACTGCAGGAGTTATCAAAGGGCATAAAAGCAGAAGCAGCTCTCTGTGCTGATTAAGTCACTATCCATCCACAACACTCACACAGGTCAAGCGCCTGCAGCAGCTGTGAATGAAAAGCAGTGTTTCACAGCCTCAAGGCTTAATTTGAGTCATAATTCACCTCTTGTTTCTCAGTCACCATAAAAAAAAAATTGCTTTAATACACTAGAGCAAAACCTCAGTCAAGTCAATCAGCTTATGTGAAGATATAAACTAAAGCAAAAAGGGACAGAGATTATCAGGTCAATTACATCAGTAGCTAATGTTTAGAAAAAATTACCTAGGGCAGACACAAGTACCTGCAAAATCAAATCCTCCAGCACCTCTTCTCTCTTTCTAGGCAAAGAAATTCCCTCAGAACTCACCAGAACATTCAGGATTAGTCCTTCCTCCCCTCATGCACCATTACCAGTACTCATCTTCCCCACACTGCAATACCTCAAGTCTTCTGCCACTTTTCCCTTTTTTCACAAGGTACAAATATTTACACATAACACTTTCAGTAAGACTTACCTTTTTGCTTTCCTCCATTTCATGTTCAAACATTGCATTAAAAACTGGAGAGCGTGCTGTATCGAGGAAAAGCAAATATTAAATATAATCAAATTTTAAACGTTTAGCAATTTAAATGCCAAAATAATAGCAATACAAAAGTAGAAAGTACCTGCAAGGACAGATTTATGAGCTTTGAATTCTTGTCCTCCTACATAAAAACTGCAATCTGTAAATCTTGTTGTTTCCCAGAGATTCCCTAAATCTTCTGCTAGTCGACATTCAGGTACCTTCAAAGTGTTTGTATTAGACTGTCCTGATATATTTACTGAGTCTTGGACCACGCTTACCTAACAGAAAATCACAGCAAGACAACTCCTTCATAACTGAATGCCAATAATAATTAAATTACAGTACCTACTGCTAGAATTTCAGCAATTCCAAAGCAAAGCAACAAACAGGGATATTTCTGGCATTAGGCTGGAACCACAAACCAATGCTTTACAGTTTACTTTAAAGTAATATAAAACAAATAGAGCTTTACTTAGACACTCTAATATTGGGTATTTATCCAACCAAAACAAAAACAAAAGAGCACAATTCCACACACCACCTGACAGAAAAGCCAAAGTAAAGGAGTCAAGGACAGATATGGTTCCTGGGATCAAAAACAGTTAACACTATTTCAGAGTTAAATTAACATATATATATACACAATAAATATAAAATCCTATACAGGTCATCAGCACTAACAGGTCACAGCAAAGTTTCATACAAATAACACATAGAAATTGTTACTAATATAAGATATACCTTAATTAATGACAGTAAGTTCATACTTAACCTGCAATGTGATAATACAAACTAAGTGCAATTAACACAGCTCCTTCATTATTTCATTTCACTGTGTGCAGCTGAGGCAGGAATCACAAGTGATGGTTTTCCAAACAGGATCAAAAGCCATTCTTTGCAGGATACAAGATGTATTAGGTAACTTGAATAATGAAATGCTCACAGGATCCAATTTCTGTACAGAACTAATTAAGAAAACTGCAGAATATGTGCACTTGAAGTGAATATATTGCCATTATTCCCCATGTTTAAGTCTTTCATACAAGAAGTAAACAGGACTGCAGCACTCCTAGCTGCTTTTTTCACATACTGAGTCCTTTTAATCAGTATGTTGAGAAACCAGGAGAGCTCAGTATGTTTTGCTTCTCTTGTCTGAGAGCACACACCTGAGAATAAAACCTTCCCAAAGAAAAGCCATAATACAAAATCTTGATCACTGCATCACCCAAATACAGAAAATTAGGATTATACATGAAGAGAAAATGCTGATACTGTTAAGATCAGTGCTTTGTTTGATTTCCAGAGGCACATCATCTGGAATAAATCTGGCATAAAGCAAAACCAGCACAGCTAAGCTTCACAGAAAGTTGGAGCACTGCAAACCAAACTCCAGACCAGAAAAGGAGAAGGATGATCCAATTATGACAGCAGCTTGGGAATTTGAATCATTGCCTAGTTCCCTGTTCCATCCCATTCCCCTTTGTGATTATAAGAAAATCCTTATATTCTTCCACCTTTTAAAAGAAAAAAAAAACAAAACCAAAGCACTGCAAAGTTTCCCTTTCAAAGCCAGACTGTACATTTGTAACACTGAAAATATCTAAAGTGTGTGCCTATTTTGTGTTCTGTTTCACAGTTTTCGTGCACACAGTGATTTCAGGAGATATACATACACACAAAGGAAGTTTTAGCTTAGCAAAGCTCATCTGCTGCTGCCAAAGGAGAGTTCTGCTCCTCAAAAGCTTGACTCAAAGTTCGTGATCCCAGTTGTCCACACAGCATCCTCCTGTTTGGTACAGACAGTGCCTGGGAAGGTTATCTACACACTCTTTATGTGTACTTAAAGTCATCTCTGATGTTCCAAGCTTCTATTTTAGAATGGTTTCTAATATATATTGATAGGTGTCAACACAACAATTTGCTATGGGTCATCCTTTTAAGAGAAAACCCAAGCAAAATATTAATTCAAGTCTGCTCCATGAGTGGCCTGGGATGTATTGTCTATAAATAGCAACAACTTTTGAACGTTCTAAATACAAAGGCTTATATGGGTCTGATATTCCATATCTCTCTTGTCCAGATGGCATGCTTAAAATCAAATGCATTCTCTTTTTTTTAATGATTTATTTAAATCAAGCTGAAATCCAATCAAGTTAATCCCATATCGCTGTTGAAAACTCATCGACTTGAACAAGTTCTCTGTGTGAGACATAAATGTGTCAACTGCCATATCATTTTCTTTATTTGCAATCTGTGGTGATCTAATAGGGAGGATGATGTAAGTGATTCCCTAGACTACTCTCAGCCCAAGCTAGGTAAGAGGTCTGTGAAAGCATTCATGAGGACAAACAGAGAATTGACTATTCTATTAGCAAATGAAAATACTTGCAAGGCTTCATTACTTTCAGATTATAAGGAAAGGGACAACAGAATTAAACAGATGAATTTGCTTAAATGAAACAGAGATGAGTTTGCTTAAAAAAAAAACCCCAAAATTATGAAGTTGCATTTAATCACTAGGTCACTTGTCAGTGGCAGCACCAGACATTGCAAAGTATTTAACTCAACAACCCTTCAGGTTCCAATCCAAGGGCACATCCAGCTGATCTTAAGGACCTTTGGCAACACAGAATGAAGAACTTTGTTGTCAAAGACCACCAAATACTCTTCCTCCAACAGGAAGAAAAGAAGAGCCAAGCAGCACAATTGGTAACCAGTGACCTTTCACTAAACACCTGCTATGGCTGACAAGTTTTATCAAGCCAAGTCCAATATAGTTCTCAGAAGTGGTAAGTCAGTCTTCCAACCAGGATACAAGTAGGAAGGCAAATATAGAAATTAGAGCTTGCAATTAAGTTTTAAAAGGACAAAATCTTCACATTTGTCTATAGAAACAGGTCCTTCAAACACCACCTGTTATTCCTTAAGACAACTGAAGAGCTAGAATCACACCTCCAAATAAACAAATTCAAAGTATTTGGACTGCCACTTTTTCCCTTCACCCTGAAACAAGCCAAAAGTTATTTTAACGTGCTCACTGTGCACAACTAAATGTTTTACTTCTTTCAGCATTCATAATCAGGATGGGTCAAGCACTTCACAAAAGCCACTCACATTAAAATGTAGAGAAGC